AAAAGGAAACCAGAGAGTTATGTACCAGGTTAAAGCAGGTAACCATAGATACACAAATGAGTTCCAGTCTTAAGTTTCACAAAGTACTAGACGTTTCTGTAATAAGCAAGCTCTGCATGTCCTTCAGGGTTAACCCAGGCTAAGCACTGGTGATCTCTTGTTTATTCCTACAAACACCTTCCCCCCGCGTCCCCCCAGAGTCCAAGCATCATAGAGATACACACCAGGTCCTTTTGGCTTGGGGTTTTTATCCCCTTCCTGCCACATGCTCTGAGCTGCAAACTCAGCTGATGGGAGGAGTCCACTTGCCTGACTCTTCTCCACTGGGAGGAGAGCAGAACCTGTTGCTGATGGTGTGTAGGGAAATTCCTGTCCCACAATAGTCTGTCTGGTATCCATGGACCTTTCCTGCTGGGCAGGGCGTGACACCTTCTGCTGGAGATCAGCCCTTCCCACGAGTTAATGTCTCTCTCCTGGCTGGTGATTTACAGTCACAGAGGCTCACAACACAACTGCTCAAATATTACCATACAATACGGGACATAGATGTTACAGGTGGGATTAATATCAGCAGCAAGTCACAACCGGCCATCAAGGTTAAACACTCAACACATTCTTACAGTTCTAATACTGAGCTTGTCAGTGTCCAGCTGAGACAAGGGGACCATGGCATGAGCTGGCATCTGGCCTGCCAGCATCCCGTCTTTATCAACCAAACTTGTCATCTGAACACACTCAGGCTCTGATGATCTAAGCAAGCTCCTGCCTCCCGTCCTCGGGGCCTGCCAGTGACAATGCTCTGGTGCCCTGGGTGGGGAGCCAGGACCCAAACCCTATAGGCTTCCAGGGATCAAACCTGCCCCAGGTCACACCAAGAGCCAGCAGGTTGTGTGTGTCCTACAGCTGGCCCCATGCAGCATGGGGCACAGGGCACTTGCTGGTTTGAACTAGAGTAAATGATGGATTCTCTGTAACTTGAAGCTTATGAATGAAGATTTGGGGAGCTCAGTGTCTCAGCCCAGGGGAGCCCAGTAAGGAGCAGGGGTTGAGGGGCTGACTAGATGGTCCCTGCTGTCCTGAGAGTCCATGAGAAGCTGCGTGGGGCACCAGCCAGGCCCTGTAGCCCAAGGAGGCAGTGCTATGCTGGGGCTTGTAGCCCATGGGGGCAGTGCCATGCTGGGGCTTGTAGCCCAAGGGGGCAATGCCACGCTGGGGCTTGTAGCCCATGGGGGCAGTGCCACCTGGGGCTTGTAGCCCAAGGAGGTGGTGCCATGCTGGGGCTTGTAGCCCACGGGGGCCGTGCCACTCTGGGGCTTGTAGTCCACAGGGTACATGCCGTACTGGGGCCTATAGCCCATGGGGGCCATGCCACGCTGGGGCTTGTAGCCCACAGGGGCCATGCCATACTGGGGCCCAAAGCCCACAGGGGCCATGCCACGCTGAGGCTTGTAGCCCACAGGGGCCATGCCATACTGGGGCCCAAAGCCCACAGGGGCCATGCTACGCTGGGGCTTGTAGCCCATGGGGGCCATGCTGCACTGTGGCCTGTAGCCCATGGGGGCCGTGCTACGCTGGGGCTTGTAGTGCACGGGGGCCATGCCGTACTGGGGCCCATAGCCCATGGGGGCCGTGCCACGCTGTGGCTTGTAGCCCATGGGGGCCGTGCTACGCTGGGGCTTGTAGCCCATGGGGGCCGTGCTGTACTGGGGCCCATAGTCCATGGGGGCCGTGCTATGCTGCGGCCCGTAGCCCATGGGGGCCGTGCTATGCTGCGGCCCGTAGCCCATGGGGGCCGTGCTACGCTGGGGCTTGTAGCCCATGGGGGCCGTGCTGTACTGGGGCCCGTAGCCCACGGGGGCCGTGCTAAGCTGGGGCTTGTAGCCCATGGGGGCCGTGCTACGCTGGGGCTTGTAGCCCATGGGGGCCGTGCTATGCTGCGGCCCGTAGCCCATGGGGGCCGTGCTGTACTGGGGCCCATAGCCCATGGGGGCCGTGCTATGCTGCGGCCCGTAGCCCATGGGGGCTGTGCTACGCTGGGGCTTGTAGCCCATGGGGGCCGTGCTGTACTGGGGCCCATAGACCACGGGGGCTGTGCTAAGCTGGGGCTTGTAGCCCACGGGGGCCGTGCCACGCTGGGGCCCATAGGGGTGTGTCGCACTGGGCCCTGGGGGCACCAGGCAGGGGGTGCACTGGTGGGGCAGAGGAGAAGGCCCCGGCCCTGCCGGTCCCTGGGCCTGGCCCCGCCAGCAGAGGGCGCGAGCCGCAGGCTGGGCCGGAGCAGCTGGAAACGCGCGGGGTCGCCCGGGCTGCGCGCAGGGGCCAGCCCGGCCTGGAGCCAGGGGAGGCAGCCATGGAGCTCACGCCCTCCACCTCCGTGGGCAGTGAGTGCCACCGGCCCGGGGACCCCCCGGCAACCGCCCCCCGGCAACCGGCCCGGGGACCGCCCCCCAGCAACCGGCCCGGGGACCCCCCGGCAACGCCCCCTGGCAACCGGCCTGGGGACCCCCCTTCAACCAGCCCGGGGACCCCCCCGGCAACCACACCCGGCTACCAGCCTGGGGACCCCTCAACAACCACCCCCTGGAAACCGGCCTGGGGACCTCTCAACAACCGGCCCCTGGGGACTCCCCGGCAACCGCCCCCTGGGAACTGGCTTGGGGACCCCCTGGCAACCACAGCCTAGGGACCCCCCTAGGAACCACCTCCCGGCAACTGCCCCCCAGAACCTCCCGGTGACCGCCCCCTGGGGACCCCCCAACAACTGCCCCCTGGCAAGCTCCCTGGCAACCACCCCTTGGTGATCCCCCCAGCAACCACCCCCTGGGACCCTCCCTGGAAATTGCCCCCCAGGGGACCCCCTAGGAACTGCCCCCTGGAGATCACCCTGGCAACTGCCCCCAGGGGCCTTCCCAGCCACCCCCCAGGAGCTCCTGCAGCAACTGCCCCCTGAGGATCTCCCCTGGCAACCTCCCCCAGGGCACCCTGGCAACTGCCCCCCAGAGACACGCCCCAGCAACTGCACCAGGGATACCCCACCTCCAGCAACCACGCCCCAGAAACCCCCCCAGTCGAACTGCCCCCTGGGAACCTCTGCCTGCCAATCACCCCCAGGGGTCCCCCACACCCAGCAACCACCCCCCTGGAACCTTCCAGCAACTGCCCTTCAGGGATCCCCAGCCAGAAATCACTCCTTGGGGACCCCCCACCTGGCAACTGCCCCCTGCGGACTCCCTGCCCAGCAATCACCCCTAAGGATCCCCCACTCAGCAACCGCCCTCTAGGGGTCCCCCAGCAACTACCCCCAAGGGATCTCCTTGGCAACTGCCCCCTAGGAATCCCCTGCCAGCAGCCACTTCCCAGGGAGCGCCACCAGCAATCCCCGCCCCAGGTCCTCCCCACCTGACACCCATCCCCCCGGGTCCCCTCCGCCTGGCAACCATTCCCCAGGGAGCTCCTGCCCGGCAACTACCCACCAGAAACCCCTTGCATGGCAACCACCTTCTGGGCACCACTCCCCAGCAACCGCCCCCCATGGAGTCCCCACCTGGCAACCGCCTTGGGGACTCACTGCCCAGCAACTGGCCTCCCCCACCCCGGGTACCCCCTGGTAATTGCACAGCAACCACCCCTTGGGGACCACTGCACCCAGAAACAAGCCCCCCTTAGGACCTACCCCCCAGGGACCCCCTGCCTGGCAACCGCCTGGCAACCAACCCACAGGTACCTGCCTCCCAGGGACCACCCACCCAGAAACTGCCTCTCAGGGAGCCCCCGCCCCCGGTCCAGTAATCATCAGGCAACTACCCTTCCCGGGGACCTTCCCACCCCAGCAACTACCTCCCTGGCACTCTCCTGCCTAGCAGGCCCTGCCCCAGGAATCCCCCCGTGAGACAAGCCTCCCTGACAACCCTTGCTCGGGGACCCCCACCTGGCACCCTCACCCAGGGTCTCCACCCCCCAGCTCCCAGCTCACCCCCCAGGGACCACTCACTCAGGGGACCGTAACCCAAAGGTCAGCCTTCCAGGGGGTACTCCCTGCTCCCACCCAGCCACACCCCAACTTCCCCCAATCACCCCTGCTCCCAAGGGATCCGCCCTGCACCTGCCAGGATTCGCCCCTCCCAACCACCCCCTCCCCCCCAAACTGTCATCCCCAGCATGGCTCTCTTCACCCCTACACACCCCCTCCCCCCACTCCCAAAGGCATACCCCACGGTTCCCTCACCACTATCACGCCATGGTTCCCCCTGCTCCACACTCCCAGCTCTTTGCCTCCACAGCCTGCCTGGCCTATATCCACCCCCCGCAGCTCCCCCAGGCGCTCCCCCACTGCCTCCCCAACCCCACTGTCCCCAGGACCGCCCCCCCTGGCTTGTGCTCCTCATTCCACCCACTTCCCTCCCCCTGCGCCCACCCAGTGGGTGCTCTCCAGGCACCGCTCCTCCCTGCTTGTCCGTTCCTGGCCTGGTGGTCGGAGCAGGCCCCAGCGGAGGGCAGGTGGGTTGGCCAGGGATTAGGCTCCTGGGGCAGGACCAGGAGCCAGCCCAGAGGTGGTGCTGGAGCAGGCCAGCAGAAGGTCCTGTGGCAGCCAGCAGATGGGCTGGGAGGCAAAGCCGTTTGGCATTGTTGCAGGTTGGGGCCAGGCATCCTCAGGTGGGAGGTGTCTCTTGGGGGGCCTGGCTGTTCTGTGGGGACTGGGTGGGATGCGCCATTCGCCTTTTTTCATCCTGCCTCCCCGGATCCACTGCCCAGAGATTCAATTGGCTATGTGGTTATACCTTACTTCCTGTCCCAAAGTGCCACGTCCCGCCCCAGAGGTGGCTGCATTTCAGTGGTGGGTGAAGTGATCCTAGTGCATGCAGGCTGGCGGGTGCTTTGGGATCATTCTGGCTCTCGAACGCATCCCTCACTGCAGTCCCCTGGCCAGAAGGCACTGGACAGGCGACGGGGCAGTAATGGTGCTCTGGCGCCAGGCTCTCACCCCACCTCTCCCCCCACAGCTCAGATGCGCACGCTGAAGGATGAGTTCAGCACCCTGCAGGATATGAAGGAGTCGGAGCTGGAGCAGGTGGAGCGGGAGCTGCAGGAGGCCAACGAAGAGATCCACGGCCTGCGGCTGGAGGCGGAGGAGGTGGCTGCCATCCACGAGAACGAGATCGCCGCCCTGCAGGAGCAGCTGTGCCGGCTGCAGGCCGAGCTGCAGCGCTTCCAGAGGGTCCGCGAGGAGTACGAGACGGAGATCACCACCCTGCGCGCCGAGATCACGATGAAGGCCAGCGGCCAGGCCCGGGCTGAGGGCCCCGCTGACAAGCTGGCTGTGCTCCAAGGTATTGCCCCTGGGATCCCCACTCAGCTGTGGGGAGTGGGGTGGGGGTGGGCTCAACAGGGGATGCTCTCCCCCAGCAGTAAGTGCTGGTCTCAGTGAGGCACTAGGGGGCACTGTGCTGCAGGAAGTGGGGGGCTCAGCAGGGGGCGCTCTCCCCTGGCAGTCAGTGCTGACCCCAATACCTGAGCGTGGCGCTAGGGGGCTGTCACGGGTGCCCAGGCTTGGGGCTCTGTCACCACTCTCAGGGGGGGCCCGACAGGACCCTGGGGGCAGTGTGACACCCCTCAGGGCGTGCTCTCACCAGGGCAATCCCCCTTGGGTACAGGTTTCAGAGTAACAGCCGTGTTAGTCTTTATTCGCAAAAAGAAAAGGAGTACTTGTGGCACCTTAGAGACTAACCAATTTATTTGAGACTAACCAATTTATTTGAGCTCACGAAAGCTCATGCTCAAATAAATTGGTTAGTCTCTAAGGTGCCACAAGTACTCCTTTTCTTTTTCCCCTTGGGTACAGCGTCTCCTGGGTCTGACCTTGGAGTGTTCAGTCCCCCCCATCCATGCTCCCCACAGTGAGTCCACCTGGCTGGGATGCCTGGGGAAGCCTCACACACCCCCAATGGGGCCATGCACCCCAACTCTGCAGCCAGCAGTGACTCCCAGCCAGTGTGTGACACAGGAGGTTTATTAGTGGTCGGGAACACAGCGTAGAACAGAGCTTGTTAGCACAGAAAGCAGGAAGTTACAGCAAAGTCCAGCTTGTGGGGACCAGAGCCCTGAGCTCTCCCCTTGAGTCCCAAACCTGGAGACTGACTAGCCTCCAACAGCCCACCCTCAGTCATGCCCCATTGTCCCTCCTCCTTCCTTTGTCTCTTTCCCAGCAAGCCAGGCACCTGGCCTCCACCTCTCTTTGTTCTCCAACACCTGCAGAGGATGGGCCCTGGCCTCGTCTGTGCGCAGGCAGCCATCTGGCAGTCACACCTGCCTCCTAGGGGTCTGTGCAACAATCACACACCCTTGTCCCACCACCTAGCCCTAGATATTTGTGCAACACATAGGGGAAACCGAGGCACTCTGTCGTCATACAAAACATTAAGAAAATTCCCACTTTGTCCCGGGGCACTGTGCTGTAAGGAGCTGGGTAGGGCAGCACTAGGGGGCGCTGTGCTGCAGCGGGTGGGGTGGGTAGTCCAGAATGGGGCAGGCTCCCGTCTGTCAGCATGGTGCTGGGGGTGTCGTGCACAGCCCCGGTGTCCTCCCCTTGTCTGCACCCAGGTGGATTCTGCTCCCAGCGGTTGGTTCCCAGCTGTGCCGCGTGGGTGGGAACTGGTAGCAGGGAGGGGGTGGTGGGTAGGAACCCCCAGCCCAGGGCTGAGCCAGGCGCAGCCCCAGACTGGTGGCATTGGAATGGAATGGGTGCTTGGAAAGCAGCCCCAGGGAGCTGTGGAGGTGGTGGTCATGGGGGGCACTGTGGTGTGTGGGTCTCCTGTGAGGCAGAGGCTGGGGGGAGGGTGTGACCATGTGACGCAGCAGGGAGGGGGGAGTGTTGACCTGGGAATGTGCCCTGGGGATGGGAGACCTGAGAGCCTGTCACCTGAGCCAGGAGGGGGAGGGGGAGGTAACACCTCTGCCCAGGAATGTGAACAGAGGCTGCAGGAGGGAGCCTGCTGGGGGGGTTTAGTTTCAGTTTGGGGCTGGGTGGAGGAACGCAGGGAACCCCAGGGCTGGGGTCTAAGCTCCCTGCTCCCCCAGAAGGACTTGACTGAGGGGTCCTGGGTGTACCCACAAGCTCTGTTTTGGATTGTGTTCCTGTTGTCCAATAAACCTTCTGTTTTACTGGCTGGCTGAGAGTCTCAGTGAATCCCAGGAAGAGGGGTACAGGGCCTGGACTCCCCAACACTCCATGACAACGTGGGGGTGTGGGTCTCCTGTGAGGCGGGGGCTGTAGGGGGCAGTGTGGGGGTGAAGGTCTCCTGTGAGGTGGCAGCCCTGTTGCGGGCTGTGCCCCATTGCAGCCTGTGTGTTTCCAGAGGAGCTGCTGTCCCTGCGGGAGCAGTACCGGGACCTGACAGAGGAGTACCAGACCCTGCAAGAGAGCAACAAGATCATGGTGCACCATCTGGAGAACCTGGAAGCCCAGAAGTACAGGTAAGGGGGCTGGAAGGGTCAACAGGGTGGGGCAGGCCGGGGAGCCCAGCCTCAGACCCCAGGTGGCAGCTGGGCTCAGGACCTGCCTCCTGTCCCCTCTGGCAGCTGGGGCTTGAACCAGAATCTTCAGGGGATCTGTGAGCAGGTGGGCAGGCCCCTGGCTGGGTCGTCGGAGCTGAGCTGGGGCAGGGCTGTGCTGGGCTGGACTGGTTAGTTCTGAACTGGGCTGGGCCAGGCCACCTCCCGCTGGCTGGGCTGTTGGAGCGGAGCTGAGCTGGGCTGAGCTGGGCCAGGCCACCTCTCGCTGGCTGGGCTGGGCTGGGCCAGTCGGGGCTGTGCTGGGCCGGGAGCCTTCTGCCCTTGGCTGGGCCAGGCGCCTCCTCCCCATGGGGGCCGGGTGGGCCAGGAGCGGCTCTGCAGTCTCTGCCCGGGGCCGCGGGCTCCCGTTGCAGATCCAGGAGCAGGTCGGAAGAGTCTCACAAGTCGACGGACTCGGAAGTGATCCATGCCCCGGTGTGCCGGACCCTCTCTCCCCGGCGCGCCAGCCCCCGCCTGAGCGGCAGCGTCTCCTTCAAGATGGTGGACAACACGAGAACCATCAGCGCCCCCAGCCCCAAGGAGCCCCTGAGCCAGGACGAGGAGGACGACTCCGAGCTGAGCCTGCGCTTCAAGCTGCAGAGCGAGGAGGAGAAGGTGCAGCTGGCCCAGAGCAAGGTACCCATCCTGGCCCTGCCCGGGCGGGAGCTGCAGGGCAGGGGGAGGGGCTCCCCAGGGGCTGCTCATGCCCCTCTCCCTGCCCCTGCAGTGTGACAACATGCAGACCGAGCTGCGGGAACTGCAGCGGCAGTATCAGGCCATCCAGCAGGAGCGCCAGCAGCTGCAGGAGGAGCTGAGGCTGTGCCGGGCGGAAATCCAGAGACTCAACGGCACCGTCCCCGCTGACGGGCGGGTAGGTGTGCCCCGGGGGTGCCACACGGCCGCGGGCAGGGGCGCCGCAGGTGACAGGCGTGGGTAACGACGCTGCCACGCTGCCGTGGGGGGTGCCCGGTGGGTGCTGACTGTGCCACGCTCCCACAAGGGATGGGGCTTGTGGGCGATGGCTGTGCCAAGCTGCCGCCTCGTGGGTGCCCGCCACTTTCCCACAGACCCCGTTCTTGGCTGGAGCCGCTGAGGCAGAGGGGGACGCTGCTCCAGGGAGCCAGTGGGGAGCCTGAGTGGGGGCGATAGGGGGGTCTCAGCCAGCGGCATGCAGGAAGCAGCGCCCAGTGCTGGGGGGAGGTACCAGCCGGGCACAGAAGCTGCCTGGACCCGGACGGTGACGGTTTGAGCCCGGGGCTGGTCAATAGCCGCTGGAGCTGGGGCTTGACCTGGTGCACACTGGGCCAAGGACACTCAGCCAGGGAGCCCCCACCCGCGGCCCAGCCTGACCCACGAGCCCACCCCAGCGCCCCCTCCCGTGGCTCAGCCCCCCAGCAGGAGCCGCCCCCTCCCCAGCTTTGAGAGCCCGCTGGGGCAGGGCTAGGGTGACACCGAGACAAGGCCAAGCAGCCTGTGATTTAATCTCTCTTTTCTCTCCCTTCTCATCTCCATCCACCCCCACCCCCCGGCCTGTGGCTGCCGCTCCATTCCATTCCCTGCTCTCCCCCCATAGAGCCACCCCGCCCCCGAGATCTCCCTCCCCTCATAGGACTGGTTGTTATAGTGGCTCTGCTCTGGTGCTGGTGGGCCGAGACCTCTTCCTAATGCGGATCAGGTACTGGTATCTCCCCTTTCCCGCGGCCTGGCCCAGGCCCCTGCTTGGCTCTCCCCGTGCATGGCAGGCTGCTCCCAGTCCCGCCGCTGCTTTGAGCCTCCAGCACCTGCCCTCCGATCCCTGCCCCTCGCCTCTCCCCTCATCCACCCTTCTGCTCTCCATCTCCCCAGGCGCTTGCTCCGGCCCGCCAGCCAGAGACAGTGCTGGGGAGGGGCATGCCCTCTTGGGAAAGGGGCTGGTGCCTCAAAGGTCAGATACGCTAAAGACATGCCACCTCGTCCCCACTGCTGAGGGCAACAAGTGCCCCTGTGTGTGTGTGGGAGGATGGCGCTGGGGCAACCATCTCCCTTCCCCTGCTGTCACACCAGGCCCTTCCTGCCCGTCTGAGCCCAGTGGCAGGGCCTGCGCCCCAGGTGGCCAGCAGGGGGCACTGTGCATCGGCAGAGGATTTGAGGGGCATCAGTAATGAGGTATGATGCCCTCAGCACTGGGGCATAGCCCCATCTCCACTGCCTCCTCGGCCAGAGCCCCGGTGTGTTCCCCACAATCGGGCTGCAGCACCAGGTCCCTGCCCTGGTGAGAGGCTTTGGGATCTCCGGGCAAAGCCCTCTGAGTGCCCATTGCGGGGCGAGGAGCGCAGCGCAACCCCCCCTGCTAAGCAGCCAGCCCCCTGCATGCCTCAGACCCCTCACCATCCCCCCACCCCCTCACAGCATCCCCCAGCTGCCCATGGTTTTTTCCCAGGACTCAAATCCCGCAATCCTTTGTGGCCGCCAAGAATCGTGGGACAACGTTTGGCCCCCCAGAGGGTGGGAACCAGCGGGCTAGGCGAGGGGAGGGGCGGGCGCCCCATCACTGGGGCCATGGGAAACAAGACGGGGGAGTGGCCCTGGGAGATTGAGGCCCACTGGGTCTGAGCCCAGGGTCCCCCCAGAGAGGGAGTGTGTGAGAGCAAGGGACCCCATCTCTCCGTGCTCCCCTGGGGAAGGCTGCCCCCCACCCAGCTGTTAGCAGCTAGCCAGTAGCTCCGCAGGGCGGCTGGTGAACTCCGGGTCCGAGGTGCTCACCGCTCCCTGCTTGCCGGGGTCCGCTCCTGCTGGCATCACCCTGCAGCTCGGCCACGCGCGCGTTTGGAATGGGGGCTCCAGGAGAACCCGCCCCCCCAGGCTCCAGCTGCCTCCCAGCCTGGCCCCCACCCTGCAGCCGCTGAGCAGCCTGGGCTCCCTGGAGGCGCTGGAAGGCTGCGGGGCACAGCACTGACCTCCCCCACATCTCCTCCCACAGGTCCCGGCCGGGGGGCTGAAGCCCATCATCCTCTTTGCGGTAGCTGCGGTTGCCTTGCTTCTGTACCCCTGCCTGAAGCGGTCCTGCGCCAGCTCCATGCCAGCCTGAGGAGCGCTGTGCCCGGGCCATGCCACACACGCAAGCCAGATCCGCCCCTTACCCCCCATGGCCTGCTGCCACTGGGAGGGCTGGAGACCCTTGCTCCAGCCCCCCTCAGTGCATGGAGGTCACCCCCCTTCCCCCGGTCAGTCACGCCATGGCAGCATCTGCCCCCTCGTTACTGCATCGGGGCTCAGGGTCAGGGACACTGTGTCTGTGGGGCAGGGAAGGGAGACTCCAGCCTCCTGCAGGTCAGCCCAGGATGCTGCTCTGGTGGGTGCGTGGATGTGCGGGGTGGCTGGGATAGGGAGGGGGTGGGCTGCAGGCCCCGGGGGAGAGTGAGGGGCTCCCTGGAAAGCAGCCTCAGCCATCCCTGGTGCTCCCCCCTCTGAGCTGGGTCCGGTCCCATTGGATCATAGCACCAACTAGTGGGGAGGTGGGGGGTACAAGGGATCCCTGCCATCGACTCCCCAAACAGAACCTGTTCCAGTGGAGCCCCAGCCCCCGTTCTGCCCCCTCCATCCCAGCCCCCGCCCTGACCCCCCTCCATCCCAGCCCCCACCCTGACCCACACTGCTCCCCTGCCATCCCAGCCCCCGCCCTGCCATGGGGGAGCTGGGATCCCAAGGGAACCCCAGCCAGGGCTCTGGTCCAGTCCCTGCTGATTGGCGCCATTTCCAGCGTGAGTCTGGTTCCCAGCCAGGCCAGCCCAGCTGCGCCGGGAGCCCCTCTGTGTGCCCCGCCAGGGGAGGTTCACGTTGCCTGGTTCTCGGTGCCCCTATGTGGCCACTGCCATGGAGCATTGTTACCTCGGACAAGCTGCCGACAGCCTGGGAGTGGCAGGATAGGCTTTGGCCGGGGTAGGGAGGATGGGCACCAGCCTGCCACCCCCCCCTTCTGCCAGGGACTGTGCCAGGTCTCCACCCTACACTTCCACCGAAGCCCAGTCCTTCCGAACTTGCGCCCACCTCTTCCTCCCCACTCCCCTCTCCAGAACACATTGGCTCCTCTCCAGATCAGCCCGAGGGGGGTGCTAGAGACCAATACCCAAAGCTCCCCGCCCCACCCACCAGAACCCTGCCCCCTGCTGGCCCGGCACTCGGCGTGATCCACTGCAATAAATTGAAAACCAAGGAGGTCACGTGGTGCTTGAAGCAGCGGGCAAGCCTGGGCCAGGGTTTTTAGTTGGCAATATTTAAAATCTGTCTTTACACTTGTGCTCCATGTCTGGGAAGGTTTGACTGTCTCGGTGCCATTCAGCAGGGAAGACCCAGGTGCCAGACAGTCCCTAGGGAGAGAGATTTATTTATTTTTAAAGCGGGAGCCCTCATGGTTTCCTCGTCTCCACCCGGGCGTTGCATCTTGCTGTCACCCCTTTGCCCGAGGGCCCCTGCTACAAACCTTCCCCCGTCACCTCATTTCAATGTTAGTGCACCCCTTTCTTCTGCCCTCGGCATGCAAGCCGTGGGCGCTGGCCCCAGGGCTGTGTGGGTGGCGTTTGCAAGCTCACTGGTATCACGACTGCTCGTGACCGGTCAGCACGGACGGGCAGGGAGGGGGCCGTTGAAGAGAAAGGGGCTCTCATGGGGGCTTCAAAATGGCCCCGAAGCTTGACACCTTTCCCTGGGCATGTATTCTGGAAGTGCCTGCATTTGGGCTGCAGGAGCTGACCTGGCCCCATGGCCGGCTCCTGTTCTGGTCTGTCCCCGCCCAGCCCTGCGTCCCTGCTCTCCAACTGGAGCTGCGGCTGCCCCCCCCCCCCACTCGCGTGCTTGGGGGCTCCCTCTCTTTGTGGTTGTTGAATGTTGTAACTTGGTAAAAGAACTTTCTAAATCCACGGAGCCTGGATCTGTCCTGGGAGTTGCCTCGTGCTGGGCGGGGGCTGAGCCAGACTCACAGGTTGCGCCCGGGGTAGAGCAAGAACCCGGCCTGAGCAGGCCCTACTTCTGGGGACACCAAAGGGGGCTGGCCCAGCCTGTGCTGGGAGACAGACCTGAGGGGAGCCGCTGCCTGCTCTGAAGCCATGGTCAGGATCCTGCTCTGGGGAAGTCGATGGGAAATTTCCCCCAGCTGCAACCCTGGGCCCTGTCCAGAATGGCCCAGATGCCGTGGGGATGGGCACCTTCCGAGGCAGCATAAAGCCAAGCCCAGAAGGAGCTCCTGGCTGCGGGGGTTGCTGGGCCCCGCTGTGACTGCACAGGGGCGCTCTCCTCGGGGCTAGCTGATGGCACATCTGCATCGCTGCTCCGTGATGGTGGAGAGAACGCCAGGCTGGAGAAATGGGGCTCCAGCTTCTCCCCAGAGCCAGCTCAGGCAGGAGCCAGAGCGCTCCCCAGCTGCTCTCCTTAGCTCCAGGTTTCTAGCCCAGCCTGTCCCTGTCCAGCCCCCTCCTGAGCAGGCTCAGGGCCAGGCCTGGACCAGTTTGCCCCCCACGCACCGTAAGAGCCTTGAGCATAGCCCAAGCCAGGACACTCCCCCTTGCCCTGGGCACTGCAGGGAGCACGCGGCCCGCAGCCCCAGGGGCTCAGGGCGGCGAGCCAGGCAGAGGTCCGGGGATCGGGGCTATCTGGGCCAGGTCAGCTGGGCTGTGAAGTGCTGGCGTGAGTCTAGGTTCTCTACTCCCCCACACGGCCGGCGGCTGCTCGGTGGGACCCCGCTGGGGCTGCAGATGCAGAGGGTGGCTGGCTGGTGAAATGCCCCTTGCGAGCCCGAGGCCCCCTCCCCTGAGCTCTGACCCGCACCGCCCCTCTGCGGAGGGGCAAGGGCCCATTTGGCCAAGCACACCATGTTCTCTGCCGGCTGGCAGGGAGCGTGTTCCTCACCCCGGGCCGCGCCAGCCAGGTGCTTCGGGCCAGTGCTCAGCTGCTATATTGAGCTGCGAGGGTCAGGCACAGTGTGACTGTCTGATGGTGCCAGGCTCCTGGGGGCTGCCCCCCCCCCCCCCCCCGACTCAGCAGCACGGGGGCTGAGTGTGTGCGAGGCCAGGGCCTAGCGTGGCAGATCAGCCCCCGGGGAGCTGTCTGCTTGAGGGGCCCCCCGTAACTGGAGGGCTTAGGCCACGCTGCCCTCCCTGGCCAGCCCCAGTGCTCGGCAGGCAGCCCCAGCTGGAGGTGCCCAGCGAGGCTCTGGGTTCTCAGCCTGCCCCTAAATCACACGGGCTGAGCCCCTTCCCCGCTGCCGGCCCCCTCTGGCCCAGGGCTCCCCTCCCAGCCTTCTGCCGCTCCATGCTGTGGGGATCGCATCATGCCAGAGGCCGCCCGTGTGCCGGCTTCACCAAGAGCGGGTGTGAGGTGGCTGGATCCCATCTGCAGGTCCTGGGGCGGGGGGGGGGGGGATTTCGGAGAGCGGGGGGGCTCTGTGACCAGCTGATGGAGGCTGAGCGAGAGCCGGTGGCTGGGCGCTGAGGCGAGGCAGATGCTGGCCCCACGGTGCTATCTGTGGCCAGGGTGGCGACCGATCCCAGGATCGGCTCCCCCGGGGACAGGGCAGATTGGCCATCGCACAGGGTCTGTGCAGGGGGTCCCAGAGCTCATGCTGGAGCAGAACGGGCCCACCTGACCCTCCGGGCTGGGCCTCTCTGGCTAGGCCCCAGCAGGGACCCTCCACCCTGGGCTGGGGGAGCAGCCGGGAGCCCACCCGGGCCGGTGGGACCAGGGGAATGGGCCCCAGGTGGCGGCCTCCTGGGAAGGGCAGGGGCTGCATGGAGGGAGGGGCAACGCCTTCCTCAGCCCGTGCAAGGCTAGAGCCCCCCAGTGAGCCAGGGGGCTGGAGCAGGCCGAGCCCTGGAAGCACCTGGGCGACCCGGGCAAGGGGGCAGCGTTGGCCCTGGTGGAGCTGGACCCCAGGTGGCCCCCGGAGGAGCGCGCCCAGTGGTTGGGCTGGCAGCAAGAGCCATGTCTTGAGTGGGGCGGGGGGGTCAGTCCTGTGGGGCGGAGCCAAGGGGAAGGCTGAGAGCACATACACACCCCCCAGAACACACACACACCCCCCCAGGACACACACACACGCACAGCCCCAGGACGGACACCCCCCCCATCTCTCTCCACTTTCAAACAGCCCCCACTCCTCACCATCCTGTACAACCGCCCCAGCACCTGCAGCCTTCTTCCCCGCTCCCCACGCCTCATCCTCAGTGCCATGGTGCCGAGAGCTGCCAGTCAGGACCGGGGCCCTGGGTGCCAGGTGCTGCATGTGTACAGAGTCCTTGTCCCACCTCGAGGGGCCAATGTGCCAAGGGGGGGGCACCTGAGTGTCACCAGCAGTGTGGCCGGCAGGGCGCTCCTGGGCTGGCCGGGGAGCTGACGTGGGGGAGCATGGAGCTGGAGGACTAGGTATTATCCATCCCTGGCAGGTGTTTGTCTAACTTGCTCTTAAAAATCCCCAATGCTGGAGAGTCCACAACCTCCCTGGGCAATTTATTCCGGTGCTTAACCACCCTGACAGTTGGGAAGTTTTTCCTAATGTCCAACCTAAACCTCCCTGGCTGCAATTTAAGCCCATTGCTTCTTGTCCTAGCCTCACAGGTTAACAAGAAGAATTTTTCCTCCCTCCTCCTTGTAACAATCTTTTATGTACTTGAAAACTGTCATGTCCCCTCTCAGCCTGGTCTCCTCCAGACTAAACAAACCCAATTTTTTCTATCTCCCCTCATAGGTCATGTTTTCTAGGCCTTTAATCATTTTTGTTGCTCTTCTCTGGACTCTCTCCAATTTGGCCACATCTTCCCTGAAATGTGGCATCCAGAACTGGACACAATACTCCAGTTGAGGCCTAATCAGCACGGAGTAGAGCGGAAGAATTACTTCTCGTGTCTTGCTTACAACACCCATTAATACAGCCCAGAGTGACGTTTGCTTTGTTTGCAAGTGTTACACTCTTGACCCATGTTTAGCTTGTGGTCCACTAGGACCCCCAGATCCCTTTCCGCAGTCCTCCTTCCTAGGCCGTCATTTCCCATTCTGTATGCGTGCAACTGATTGTTCCTTCCCATGTGGAGTGCTTGCCATTGTCCTTACTGAATTTCATCCTATTTACTTCAGACCATTTCTCCAGTTTGTCCAGATCATGTTGAATTTTAATCCTGTCCTCCAAAGCACTTGCAACCCCTCCCAGTGTGGTATCGCCCACAAACTCTCTAAGTGTACTCTCAATGCCAGTATCTAAGCATTGATGAAGATATTAGAACCGGACCCAGACCTGATCCCTGCGGGACCCCACTCGATATGCCCGTCCAGCCTGACTGTGAAGCACTGATAACTCCTCTCTGGGAACGGTTTTCAACCAGTTCTGCACCCACTTTGTAGCAGCTCCATCTAGGTTGTGTTTCCCTCGTTTGTTTATGAGAAGGTCACGCGAGATAGTATCAAAAGCCTGACTAAAGTCAAGCTAGACCATATCTGTCTAGTCTAACCATCTATTTGTCTGTCTGTCTCCGTACACGCACCCTGCCGTTTGCACTGTGTGCTTTGTGACTGTCCCCAGCGCCTGGCGTGAGTGTGCAAAGGGCGAGGAGTATTTCTGGCTGCTGATGCCGGGTCCACTCTGACTCGGCCCTTTATTAATAGCGGCCCCGGCTCGGGTTCCCTCTGCTCCTGGTTATTCAGGAATCCCAGGCGGCCGGCTGCAGAGACCCCCATCCCCCACCCCGAGCATGGAGCTCCCCTCCCCCAGGGCCCTGCACATGACTCTCCCTGATGAGCCCAATGCAGGGACTGCAGCCTGGAGATGATGGCTGGGGAGTTGGGAGTTAGCTGGGGCTTGGATCCACTGGGCCCATTCCAGCCTCCTGGTACCTCCCTGCCCAGCCCTCTCCCCAACACAGCCCCCCCCCCCCCCCGCCTCAATAGCCAGTCCTGGAGGGGGGCAGTCAGGCCAAGCTCTCCACTGTACAGAGGGGGAAACTGAGGCAGAGTGCAGGGGAGGTGATCTGCCCGAGGTCACCCAACAAGCCAGGATTGGGACCCAGGATCCCCTGCTTAGCCCACTAGCCCATGCGGCCTCTCTCACTAGCCCCCACCCCAGCGGGCTGGCCACATGCTGCTGGGGAGAATACTGCCCCCCGTTCTAGGGGCAGGTGGTAAAAGGATGTGGGATGATTGCAGAGGGTGCAGAGCAGAGCCGCGGAAGCGAGCAAAGGCTGGAGGAAATTGGTGCCCGTGAGCAGCTGAAGGAGCTCAGCGGGTCAGCTCACCCAAAGGAGAGCGAGGGGAGACTGGATTACAGGGCCGGAGGCCATCCATGGGGAGAAACTCCCGGGCACCCCTGGGTGCTCCAAGCTGGCAGGGAAAGGTGGCACAAGCAGCCCCGGCCGGACGCTGGAGCTGGACCAATTTCAATCAGAAACCAGGCACGCCCTGTGAACAGGGAGCATGGGTGACTGGGGCAGTGGGGGATTCGCCATCTCGGGAGAGCTCCCTGGCCTTTGGGGCTCCAGGTCCTCGCGTGACGCCACGCTCGGGGATACCATCGGGCAGCCCCCCTCTCTCTGGTCAGGCTCCCATTGTGCCCCGGCTCCTCACCTCAGCCCCATGGAGAGGACACACCCAGGGCAGCGGGCGCAGAGCAAGCACAAGGCGCCACCTCTTGCGTGGAGCTGATCTGGGGAACTCCTTGCTGCAGGGGATGCTGCTGCTGGATAGTGTTCAGAGCTGGGCAGCCTATGAATAAGGTCAAAGCTCAGGCTGATCCCTGCAGGGGTCTCCTCACTATGTACTATGCTGGCCAGGGCTAGGACCGACACCCCCACCCCCCCCCACCCCCAGCAGCTGTCAGCACCTGTGCCAGGGCAGGACACAGGCTCCGCGGGTTGATGGCCTGCTTAGGTGCCGCAGGGTGGGG